CAGACTGTTTATCCCACCTATCTTATCTAGATATACCTGCAGAGATATGCACAAAAACAAGACAGCAAAACAAAGCAATAAGACAAAACCAAAAATATACACACGCCCAAAAAAGCCTGTAAATAGTTCAAGGTCTGTTTGTTGACCTTTCAGAGTGTTTTCCTGTTGAGTCTGATGGGGTGCCACGCCCTGGCCCCCAAATCTATTTTTGGTACTCCCTCTGGACTTCCTTGCTCTGCTCCCCTTGCTGTTCTGTTGCACGCCTTTAGTGTTTTGCCTCAGTGTGGTGGGGTCAGATTGGGTGCAATTCCCACACTGTGTTTCCAGTGTTGTCCCCCGTAAAGCTAAAACCCCATTATCTTTTAATCCCATTCCCCCACAGACTTTTTAAAGCCCCACTCATCTTCATATAAACTAACAGAATGTTATTTTAAATAAGGATTTTCCACCTTAGGAAGGCATTTAAAGAATTCTTTTATATCTGTCTCTGATATTGGATGTTAAGCATTAAATTCCAGATTATCACTTCTAATCAACGGTTCTTGAAAAGATCTCATTTGCATGATTAAGTGGATTTTTAAAGATGAAAATTTCTTTCGCATTTGCAACAAGGTTTGAAAAACGCTTCTGAAAATGAACTGGAAATGTGCATTCAGCACATCTTGTTTCTGTTAGCTTTTGACCACAAAGGAAGTGCAAAAGTATACCTGATCCTATGTGTGATCAAACAATATGTTGTCATTGGAATGACTTTGCTATGGTGTGAGTTCCTCATGTTAACAGTTTTCCTATTTGGTTTTATATTGGATTTATTAAGAAATGTCAGGTTGAATTTATCTAGATTGAATGTATTTCCAAATTGTCAGCAAGAATCTCATTTCCATATCCCTCTGGTGTTTGATAATAGTGAAGAAGACTCATTCTTATTCAGAAATTTGGGGCCGGACCCCAAAAGGAAACATCTCTGCTACATATAAGAAAGAGTTTTATTTCTAAATGGGGCTATGGTGGGGTTGGTGTGAGTACAGGTCTGTCCCCTGACAGTGATTAATCCCCCCCCTCCAGGCCTTAGAGCTGCTGAGGAGCCCAAAGCAGGGGTCGGTGGGGGGACACCAGTGTCAGGATGCTGCCACTTCCTGTGGTCACTGAAGCTTCTCATTGGGCCACGGGTTTCCTTCTGGATGCACTGCCATGGCAGCCATCTCACTGGGCAGCTGGTTGGAGGCCGACCCTGGCCCTCTGTCTTCTCCGGTTTGGGCACCTGGGGAGAGGAACAGGTTTAGAGACCAGGAGAGACTTGTTGGCTCAAGAAGGCGCTGGTCCCCTGGCAGGACCCCCATGCTTCACTGTGGGCAGTCTTACAGCAGGTCCTCTTGACATTCAGGGGCGGAAGGGTTCAGTGTAGGGATAACCTCACAGCTGGGGCATCCCTTTAAGGCCCTATGTCCCTCCCACCTCTGCCCCTCTCCCCAGGGCCTAAGGAGGCTACTCTTTGCTCCCTCATTGTGACCCTCTGTCCTAGCGCTATTCTGTTCCACTGCTCCCTTATGGCCGCCCACGATCGCCTCCCTTCCAGTCTTTCAGCCTCATCTCTCCCTTTCTGCTCTCCCCCACCCCATAATCTGTCTCCCTCCCTCTTTGACTCTATGCTTCTTCTACCCTGTCTATTCCTTGTCCTCTGTGCTCCTCTCTTCCTGTCTGTCCCATGGGATTCTGCGAGTCCTGCCATCCCATCAGAGCCCCGTCCCTCCCTTCCTATTCCGTGCCCCCACCGCGCCATAGCAGGAGGCAGTTCATACCTTTGGATGGTGGGTTCTGCAGGTTATCATGGGTGTTAAAAGCCGGGCAGGGAGCGGCCATGGTGCTGGGGACTGGGGTGGTCAGGAGCAGCAGCAGCAGCAGGACCAATGAGGGCCACATGATAGGATGGGCAAGGCAGCTGGCTGGCAAGGGCTGAGCGGTCAGATCATCAACACTAGGCCCCTACCTTACTAAGTCCTGCCCAGCGCTGAAGTCCCGCCCATTTTCCAGGCTCCACTCCCAGGTCAGGTAACTCCCCTGGCACGTCAAGAATATACACCGCTTAACGTCCCCCTCCCCCCCACCGAGCAGCTCTCCCGCTCCCCACCCCCCACTTCTATCTATTATTCCACCCAGCCTTGGTTGGAACCAGACCTCACCTGTGATTCACGCCCTGGCCGCAGCACCTCTTCACCTTCGCTTTGTCTACTCTGTCTTCTGCCCTACTTGAGTCAGCCCACAGCCTGATCGCTGCTTTCCAGTTCCCCAAAAACTGTTAAATCCAAACCGATGCCCTCTTCCAGCCCGAGCCGCGCCCCTACCTGCTGACCACGCTCTGAGTCCAAGCCACGCCCCTGCACGCGGTTCCTGTAACCCTCGTTCTAATGGCCACGCCCTAACGGGGCTGAGCCTCGCCTTTATGGGGCAGAGCCTCATTCCTGTTTCTTAGCCAAGTCTCCTGCCCTCTGGCCTCAGCCCCATCAGCAGACCACACCCTTTGAGCCAGACCTGTGCCTCCTTTCTTTTACCTCCTGCCTAGTGCACAAACAGGGTCTCCATCCCAACGGTCACGTGCCACGGGCAGACCACAAGCCTTAGCGGTACAACCGTTGAGTGATCGTCTGCTACTTCAAAGGTCTCCCGTTTTAGTGGGAGGAAGATATAGCAGTCTGCTTCTGTAAAGAAGACAGCCTTGGACACCATATGGTGCAATTCTACTTTGTCCCATAAGGTCGTTGAGCGGGAAGTCAGTGTGTTACTTTGTAGTTGATGTTCAGAACCCAAATCAGGTCTCCATACTCCTGACCTCATCTCTAGTTGTCAAGCATGTCCCTGGTTACTCAATATGGCCTTGATCTTCTGACTCTGGCCCTTAAGTGGAAAGCCAACATTGGCTTCTTTCCTAATAGACCATATCTCCTGGATTGAGCCAGCATCTGGGCCACACCTGTTGCTTGACACAGGAGCGCCCAGCCCAGACTCTCAGCTTCATACCAGCACCTGGGTGTCTCTCCCTAATTCTCCCTGATCCCATCATTAGGCCTTAAAATGATTAAGAGGCAGGGATGTAGTGACCATGACCCAAAGTATCGTTCTTGGCCTATTAAAATGCCTGCCTTTCCCAAAAACCTGAGCTCTTCAGGACCTAAAGGTTCACGGTGCTGTGGACCACAGCAGTTTGGCGCCAGAAGCCATGCCTTGCAACTAAGTCCTCTGTCTGGTTCCCCCTAGATCTGGGGAGGACTGCTCTGCTCTTTCTCTCTGGTACTCACTTCTGTCCCATCGATCCGTAGCTGTTCCAATTTACTTCAGGTAGGAATGCATCATTTACTTGATGAAGCTAAGAATGGGGAATATTCAAAGTCACAAACATGTGCCAGGATATGGTTGTGAATTTCCATCCGTGAATGAGTGACCTTATTAGGGAAATCTTAGTAAGAACATGCTTGAGTGAAATCCTATGCTTAATGCTGCAGAATGGAGATGTTGAAAATCATATCCCTATTTGCATTAGAAAATTGGGAATCAATGGAACTATGCAATACTCCATAGGAGTTAAACGCAGTGCAGGTATATGGAGTTACTCGGTTGCATAGCTAAGAAAAGCAAATCATAATACATCGTACAATGAGCAAGGTGAAATGATGGCTAAGGATTTAGGCTCTGGAACCTGCGCTATGATCAACAACCTAAACTCTCTTAAGTTTTTAAAAGGAAGTATAAAGGTTAGGCTGGGTGATCTAACATTGAATGACTGATGATCAGATATGACAAGAAAAACTCGAGCAACAAGGCATCAGAAAAATCAAATAATTCAGTTTACCAAAGGACTTTTCAACAAAATGAAAAGAAAGCCTATAGATTGGGAGAAATTTTTCAGAACCATATATAAGGGCCAAATATCCCAAGTATATAATGTCAATACCTTAACACAAAGACTAACAACCTGCTTTTTTAAATGAGCTACGGACTTGAACACAGTCCATCAACGAAGATAAGCAAATGGCCAACAAGCACATGAAAACATGTTCACTATCATTAGCCATTGCTCGTGTTGTTTCCCTCCAGTCAGTTCCAACTCTCGGCAACACCATGTGTGCAGAGTGTAACTGCTGCATAGAGATCTCAAGGTAGTGACTGTCGCAAAGATTGCCAGGTTTGCTTTCCATAGTGCATCTGGATGGGTTTGAATGCTCAATATACCATCTAGCCATCAAGCACAACCATTTGTGCGACTCAAGGATTCATGAGAAAGTAGACACCCAAATTCTTCCAGCAAGAAAAAGGTCAATAATCGATCCAAAATATCTGCTAAAAAGTTTTAATTTTTCCAAAATACTGGAAATGTGAAACACACAATCGTTATGTCACATAAAAATATACACACAAATTCTGAATTACATAAGACTGGCACCCTGTAAACTCAAATTTACAGATTAAATAACAAGATTATTATGAATTGATATTTCATATAGGGCACTTTCATTGAAGAGTATTAGTATAGTTTTTTTCTTAGTCAAATAGCCTTCCAAATTAACTATGTTTATGAAAATAGTCCCTTTAAGTATTCTTTTCTCAGGTGTAGTTGAAAACTTTATAAAACTTAGTCCTATCAATAAGGTGTTCATTAAAAACCCATCTGTAAATGCCTCTAAAAAGTAGGAAATTTACTGTGTCATTGTAACACTCAAATAGGACACACCTTTTCTCAGTGATTCAAATCCAAACTTGCATAGAATTGTTAGGTTGCATTTGAAAGATGGTAGGAACCGCCATATATTTAGTGGCCTTGTCCTCATTATCAGCTCTTGATGATTTGTAAACTTATCTAAACGAATGTTTATTCACAGTTGATCTATTCTGGTACCTTTCCTGTAAACAAGGGAGTCCTGGTAGTGCAGTTGTTAATCACTTGGTGGCTAAGCAAAAGGTTGGTGGTTCAAATCCACCAGCTGTGCTGTGAAAGATGTGGCAGACTGACAGCCTTGAAAAATCTATGGGCAGTCCTACTGTGTCCTTTCAAGTGTCTGAGTCAGAATCAACTCAAAGGCAATGGATTCTCGTTTTTCCTCTAAGCATTAGATTTAAATATGAAATATGGCTTTCACTATAACAATTTTTGAGAATATATTTTCCACATTCATTCCATTCATAGATTTTGTCTCAGAAGTAATCCCTGATATGTAGTGCCCTTAGAAACCAAAGTAAAATTTTAAAAAAACGTTAATTCCTATATAAAGTATCTTGTACAGAAAGGGTGTTGTGGACTTAAAGGTTCTCCTCATTGCATTCTTGGGATTCTCTGAAATATCAAGATTAAAATGACTATGATGCTTTCATGTTTCAAGAGATAGAAGGGATTTTTTGGTCTATGAATTCTTGGGTGAGCAATGACATTTGATTTCCTATTGGACTTCTCATACTCATTATACTTGGTTTTTTTAACATTATCATGGATTTCAGAGATTTTCAGCATTAAGTATGTTCCTATTCCCTCTTCTATGGATTCTCTGATGGCTATTGAAGGCTGATCTGTGGTGGAACTTTTTGCCACACTCACTACATTCATAGGGTTTCTCTCCTGAATGAGTTCTATAATGTACAGTGAGGTATGATTTCTGAGAAAATACTTTTCCACATTCGTTGCATTCATAGGGCTTCTCTCCTGAATGGCTTCTATAGTGGACAGTGAGGTTTGACATTCTGGAGAAGACTTTCCCACACTTACTACATTCATAGGGTTTCTCTCCTGAATGAATTCGATGATGGATAGTGAGATATGACTTCTGAGAGAAGAATTTCCCACATTCATAACACTCATAAGGTTTCTCTCCGGTGTGTACTCGTTGATGCCTAAAAAGGGATGAATTGTGGGAAAAGGTTTTCCCACATTCGTTACAACCATAAGGTTTTTCCTCTGAATGACTCCTATAATGTTCAGTGTAGTACGACAAGTCAGAGAATAATTTCCCACATATATTGCATGCATAAGATTTCTCCCCTTTGGGAAGTAACTGTTGCCCATTAAAGGGTGAATTTTGAAGGACGGTTTTCCCACATTCATTACATTCATGGAGTTTTTCTCCTAAACTGGTTGTATTAGTGAGATTTGAAAACTGAGTCAACTTTCCACATTCATTACATTCATGGAGTTTTTCTTCTGTGTGTACTTTCCTATGTCTAATAAAGGCAGAATTTAAATTGAAGGTTTTCCCACATTCATTACATTCATAAGGTTTCTCTTCTAAATGGCTTCTGTAATGTATGGTTAGGTATGACACTCGAGAAAAGAATTTTCCACATTCACTACACTGATAGGGTTTCTCTCCTGTATGTGTTCTCTGATGAGTTATCAAGGTAGATTTTCGGTAGTAGGATTTCCCACATTCATTACACTTATAAAGTTTCTCTCCAGTGTGAGTTCGTTGATGATCACTGAGTGCTGACTTCCGGGAAAAGGATTTGCCACACTCACTGCATGGATAGGGTCTCTCTCCCGAATGGTTTCTCTGGTGTAGTGTGAGATGTGTCTTCTGGCAAAAGGTTTTGCCACATTCATTACATTCATAGGGTTTCTCTCCTGAATGAGTTCTCTGATGCTGAGTGAGATGTAATTTCTGACAAAAAGTTTTCCCACATTCATCACATTTATAGGGTTTCTCCTCTAAGTGTGATCGCCTATGAACAGTAAGGGTTCCTTTCTGGCTGAAGGACTTCCCACAGACAGTACATGCATAAGGTTTCTCCCCTGTGTGAGCCCTTTGATGTATAATGAATTTTGACTTTTTACAGAAGGCTTTTCCACATTCACTGCATTCATAGGGTTTAATTTCCATGTGTGATTGCTGATATGTGTTGAAATTTGACACCTGGATGAAGTCTGGTCCAGAATCATTCCAATCATAGGATTTCTCTCTGATGTAAGTGCTCTTATGAGGAATGAAAACAGTTTCTTTCTTAAAGGTTTCCAGGCATTCTAAGGATTTCTCCAAAATTCCAATTTTCTGAGGAATATTTTCTTCATTTTGAGAACAGGTTTCCCTATTTTTATTAAACGGATAGCGTTTCTCTGCGTGATGTGCTTTCTCACAGTCACGGCACTCGAGTTTCTTTTCTGCATAGCTTCCATCACTAATAATTAATTCTGAGATAGATTCTAAACTCTTCCCACAAGAAACACAATGATGAGATTTCGTGTTTGAAGGAACATGATTTGCTTCCACATTTATAGTTCTATCAAACATATCTTCTCTTTCTTCAATCAATAATCTGTTGTTAATGGACACTGTTTGCCTTGAATGTTTGTTTCCAATTTCTTGGGTTCTTTCTATCAGGTCATCAACTTTCCAGACTTCTGAAAAAAGGAATAAAATTGAACAAATTTTGTGAGTCTGAACACACACACTGCAAAATGGGAACAGTACTCACATGGCCTGTTTATAAGGCTAACTGGCTTTTGGGCCAACCTGTACAAGTCAAAATAATCACAAGCATATATTCCTCTTTTCCCGTTCATGTGTAATAAAACACACACATCACACACACATAGGTAAGAGTTAAGGGATAAGGGTGTGCCAGGATTCAGCAGTAATGGGACAGGGAGAGTAAATTCACAATGAACACAAATATCTTTTTCACTTTAAAAATAATTTATTCAAAACATTGGTAGAAAAGGTAAAACAAATGCATGAGATGAGCCAAAGTCCTTGAAATAGCTCTAGATCTAGACAGATAGGAGAGGACTCGGAGTAAACATAGTCTGTGAGAGAATGAAAACAATTGCTGATGGATATTCAAAGGAAATATTAAAGTATGAATTAAGTCTAGAAGAACTAGATTTTTTTAAAGATAAAAAAAAACTAGATTATAATTTATATTAACTTGTAAGATATCACTGCTTCTCAAGATTACTATAACTAGTTTAGGTCCTTCCAAAATCTTTTACTCTTTCTCATTCTGCACATAAATCCAAACAAATATTTTGAAGGCTCCAATTTTGCCAGGTTTAGAGTAGTCAGTTCTGCAACTAGGGCTCCAGGACCCTAACCCTGATTTACATTTACCTGGAAGCTCTGAGAGATCCAGATACAGAAATGTCTAAAGGAAATATACTATAGAACAGAGGGAAAGTACTCAGCATAAAGCCAGGCCACCAAAATGTATGCCCACCAAATTCTACATTATTTGTACATGACAGCCTGGTGGTTAAGGATATTAATTACCTTGCTGGAGCAAGGTAACCTCAATTAAATTGAAATTCTAACAAATTACTGGCTGGAGGACACTGGAAAGAGACATGAAATTTCACTTATCTGAAGTGGAGATAATAGTGTCTAATTAGAGCTATAAAAAGATTGACTTAGTTAAGCTGCTTAGAATGTAGTTTATGACACAAACCAAAGGGTCATTATCGTTAGCTGTTAATTTTCTTTCTTAAATTTCCTAAAACCCATCATTTCCCTGGCCTTGTACAGAGGCAACAAAATATCAAAGAAAGAAAGAAAACAAGTCTTTCAGGGACACTCCCAAGGAAACCAAGAAAATTAACCAAAACTCATCCATGAAAGTAGTACTGACTGAACATCCACAGTACACAGGGCATCATCCCAAGGCATAAAAGAGCATTTGGGGGACATGAGGAATATCTATTTGCACTGCTGTATTACCAAATCAAATCTGATTGGATTTCAGGAATAACAATCAGCACTTTCAAATGACATGTGGGGGCACATTACAAGGTTGGGACTGTGTGCATGGCCATAAGTACAGGATGAAGTTTTACTATCTTACTGCACAGAGAGAGGAGTAAAATTGGGAGCAAGAAACAAGTCTGAGGGGTTTCATAGTTGGAAGATGGAAGATAACAGGAATAATACGAAAGTCTCCAGCTAATTGTTATGGCAGATGTTTGAGTGTCTAAAAACAAAAACAGGCTGTGCTTACAAGGGTAGGCAAGTTACTGAGAATACCGGAGAAAGGAAATGATTGACTTCTTGACAATGATGGAAAATACTGAAGTGTGCAAATCATATGTACATGAAATGATAAAGAAAAGTGTGAGTATTGGTATTGGGAAGAAAGGATTACCTGGGTTTCTAGAAGTGTGATTTAGGTTGGAGATGCCCATTAAACAACTTTGATAGTTACCTGAACAGTTCTGGCATGGGAATTCACCTTCTACTGCCCATGGCTCTTCTCCCTGCTCCAATTTGATGATCACATCTGGTTTGGTAATATCAAACCCTGTTAATGAGAAATAATGAAGGACTTGGATCAGCTGCTTAGTTTTAGGCTCTCTGAAGTGTAAGAAGACAAAACATATACAAAAATATACCCATTTTTACTTCATCAAAAAGTGAAACTTTTTAATGGGAAAACAAATGGTGCAAATGTTAGACCTACTGCCCCAAATGAATTCCTTATCACCTGTGTCTTCAAATTCAAGACAAAAGCATTCATCTGTCAGTTCTCATGGAAAGGAAGCTGTCCTCACCTAGTGAGATTAAGTGGCTGTAGTTCTCCAGCATCACATCCCGGTATATGATCTTTTCATCACAGCCCAGCTGTTGCCACTCCTCCTGGGTAAAGTTCACAGCCACGTCCTTGAAAGACAAGGGCTCCTGTAACAGTACCACGATTCAAATTGAGTGACACAAAAAATATGCACGCTGGTGAGACCTTACAATGCTTGCTGGTAAAGTTAACTACAAACAATGAACACCTTATTCTATGTTGAGATTATGGGAAGATAATACAGCCTATTGGAAAAATACTGCCTTTAGAGGCCTTAAGCAACACATACATATATTACGAAAACCTGCCCTCCAAAAGAAATGACCTCAAATTGTCTCAAACAGATGATAAGTGTGACCCTAAGACACCAAAAAAAGAACAATAAAACCAAGTAAACAGGAGAAAGGAAAAAGAAAAGGTCAAAGAAGAAATAAAAGGAATAGTTAAATTGTGCCAAAAGTCTGTTCTTTGAGAAAGGAGAAAGCCAAATTTGAGAAATCTTGACCCAAACTGATCAAGAAAAGAAGACACAAATTAGGAAGGAAAAAGATATAACATCACAACAGAGTCTACAGATAATCAAACACCATAATATAACCAATTTTTGCCAATAAATTTGGCCACTTCGATGTAAACGATCAGAGTCCATATGCAAGAAGAATACCTGAAAAGCTGCCTCCATCATTTAATTAGATTCATTTAAATCAAATATGTAGTTAAAACCTTTCTCAAAAATAAAATTGAGGCTCAAACTGCTTCATTGGTGGAATCTCCCAAAAGTTTAAGGAAGAAATAATATCCATGTTACCCAAAATATTCCAGAAAATTGAAGAGAAATACTCCCCAAGTAACTAATATTACTTTGACATCAAAATGACAAAAAGGCATTTTAAGAAAGTGCAGACCAATATCCTTTATGAACAGAAATAAAAGAATTCTAAACAAAATTTTAGTAAGTTGAATTTAGCAATAAATAAAAAGGGCAACACATCATGTCACATGGGGTTCAACGCAAGGTTGGTTTAAGGTCTCAAAATCAATTAATGTAATACATCATATTAACATACAAAGAAGAAAAATAACAATCTCATTCTAAAAAAATAATAAATAAAGCATTTGACAAAATCCAACATCTATTCCTCACAAAATCTCTCATATCTACTCAATCTGATAAAAGGTAGCAATAAAAAAATCAATGCCATTGTGGAACTACATAGAAAATAAGCCTCCAGTGAACTTCCTCTATCCACAACTGAGGGATAGGAGGAAAGTGGTTACTAAATAGAGTGCATTAGAGAGTTGAGTACAGAAGATCAAAGGCATATATTAATTGAACAGTTAAAACTTTGTCAGCAGATCCCCCCATATGATGCATGCTGGACCCGATCTGGTTTCCAAAATTTTCTGTATTTTCGTTTGCACATATTAGGGTGTATCTCAGAGGTGTTAGGTCATTGGGGCTCACCCTCTTGAAGTTGTGTTATATGTTTGGGTTTTTGGGTTTTTTTTCGTTTTTCAGTATATGAAACAGGATTGATGAATCTACAGAGAGGGCAGGTAGAATAAGGGATTCGGTGGGAGGGAGGTACAGTGGTGGTAGCAGCATAAAGGGGAGACGATGTCAAGGAGTCCATGTAGAAAGGAAGGACCCCAATTCTGCCTTGCAGACCTGGTTAGACCAGAGGATGCACGGCGGTACAGATGGGAACTGGAAACGCAGGGAATCTAGGACAGATGAACCCCTCAGGATCAGGGGTGACAGTGGCGATACCAGGAGGGAAAGGGGGGGGGGTTAGAAAGGAGGAATTGATCACAGGGAGCTACATATAACCTCCTCTCTGAGGGATGGGCAGCAGAGAGGTGGGTGAAGGGAGATGCCGGGCAGTGGAAGATATAATAATAATTTATAAATTATTAAGGATTCATGGGGGAGGGGGAGAGGGAGGGGTGGGGAAAAAAGGAAAATGAGCTGATTCCAAGAACCCAAGAGGAAAGCGATTTTGGGAATGATGAGGGCAACAAATGTATAGGTGTGCTTTACACAACTGATCTATGTATTGTGATGAATTGTATGAGCCCCAATAAAATGATTTAAAAAAAGAGGAATGTTTGAAAACTAATTGTGGTAGCAAATGTATAATTCTGGACGCGACGGGACTATAGAATGATATTATATAGATATATAGATATATTAATTCCCAATTAATTTTGAAAAAAATCTGTCATAGTTGATAGATAATGATTGGATGCTTGTCCCCTAAGGTCATGAACAACCCAAAGATTGTCGCTCAACACTATATAACAGCGGCTCTCAACCTGTGGGGCATGACTCCTGTGGGGGTCGAATGACCCTTTGACAGGGTTCACACAATTCATAACAGTAGCAAAATCACAGTGATGAAGTAGCAACGAAAATAATTTTATGGTTGGGGGTCACCACAGCATGATGAACTGTATTAAAGTGTTGTGGCATGAGGAAGATTGAGACCCACTGCTATATAAGAAGTTCTAGCCAGTGCAATGAGGCAGGATTGAGAAGAAACACAGATTGGGAAGGAAAACCTAAAACTTACTTTACTTGGAAATACATGGTCACTTATATAGAGAATCTGATCAACAAAAACCTGTTAGCATCAAGTTAATTTTAACTCCTAGAGATACTCTAGTAGAAAGTGGAATCAAACAGACTTTCCAAGGCTCTAAATCCTTATGGAACCCAATGTCTACATCTTTATCCAGTGGAGCAGCAGGTGAGTGTGAACTGGCAATCTTCCAATTAGCTGCCTGGCACTTGACCAATGTGTGACCAAGACTCCTTAAGAAATCTGATAGGCTATGAATAAAAAGCTATCAAAACGTGAGTTTAAACAAGGTTGCTGAATATCATGAATACATAAAAACTGGATGTGTTTTTATATAATTGCAATGAACAATTGGAAAGTAAAGTGTTTTTTTTAAACCCATGAGTCAAAATGGCAGCAAAATAGAAAACAAAAATATTGGTTGGTCAAAAGCCTACATCAAATTTTGAAAATTGCCTCTCCTGTTGAATCACATAACCTAGTAGGTAAGAGTGGTTTATCTTCAGAAAACCATCAGCTTAAGCATGGAGATCTAGCGGCCACTCGCAATGTGTAGCGGGCCCTGGTGGTATAGTGGCTACATGGGGGACTGCAAACCCAAAAGGTCAGCAGTTAGAAACCACTAGCCACTCTGTGAGAGAAAGATGAGGCTTTCTACTCTGGTAAAGAGTTAGTCTTGGAAAGCCACAGGGGCAATTCCACTCTGTCCTATAGGGTCTCTATGACTCAGCATCGCGTTTGAGGGGTTTTTGACAGGAAATAAAGAAATGAGTGAAACGTAAAACAATGTCAATGTAATTAACACCACTCAGACTATGAGAAATTTCAGGATGAAACAAGTTTCTTCATTAAAAAAAAAACACACACATCACAAAACTACAAAGAAAGAAACATGCAGGGGAAACGACTGTTAAAAGGCTTAAAAGTCTTACAACGAACTGCAATGCAAAGATTGTGTTTGCAGGCGGATGAAAAAGAATAGACTGAAATAAATTTAGAGACAAGTGAGATGCTCTGATTACCCCGTGTTCTATGTGGGATAGGGTCACTGCAATGAGTCGGAATCTACTCAATGGCAGTGAGTTTGGAGTTTCGGAGATTAAGATAGAACATGAGATACATTAAGAAAGACTGTGAGTCATCCCTACCACTTCTTAGAAGAATCCTTATCATTTACATACATGCAGACATGTACCATTAGCTATTTTTTAAAGGCAAGAAACGAAGACTCTATGAAGGAGACAGCAGCTGGCAGACGGAATCAGGGGCGTAGTGCTACTGAAAGTAGTAACTGTCAAGGGCAGAAGAATGGTTGTGTGAGAGGTGGGCTGGGGAACACCCACTGGACCTCACCTATTCAGGGACATGGTAAGGACAGGGACCCTTCTAAGAACTGTGAAAGGGGAGTGAGGAGACTGCTTCCAGAGGGTAACTTCTGAGTTCTCTGGGGTGCAGCACAAGGAGAGAGATGGGCAGAAACATTTATGGCGAAATATTTAAAGGCTATCTGCTCCCGTAAAGGTTTACAGCCTTGGAAACTCAAAGAGGCAGTTCTACCCTGCCCTACGGGGTCATTCTGAGTCAGAACTGACTCACTGGCAGTGAGCCTGGTTTGTTTGGTTGGTTTGGTTTGGTTTTGCTTCTAAGGAGCATTGTGGCTGTATTTTGTTTTTCTGGTTTGTTTTTTTAAGCCATTACACCCACAGTCTAGGTTTCATCCCTTGATGAAAGAGTGAAATACTGAAATGCCCACATAATTATTTTGGTCCTGGAAAAACGATAATGCAACAAGTTCTTATTGGGCAACCTGCCCTCGTTACATACGGAACAAATATAAGCCATGCCCTAAAATAGTTTAACATTTTTTAAGTTAAATTTTTTAATAACTTCACATTTATTAATAGGAAGGTACCCCACAATTATTATATTAACTTTAATAAAGAAAATTCCCAAGTGCTAGGAAACACGGAGGCATTTGAATTATGGTGCTGGTAAAGAATATTGACAGTACCATGGACTGCCAAAAGAATAAAGAGATTTATCTTGGGAAAAGAACAGCAAGGGTGCTCCTTACAAGAGAGGATGGCAAGACTTTGTCGCACGTACTTTGGACATATTCTCAGAAGGGGCCTGTGCCTGTACAAGTCAAGGGTCAACGAGAAAGAGGACGTCCCTCCAAGAGATGGAGTGGCACAATGACTGCAAAAAATGGGCTCACGCACAGCAATGCTTGTGAGCATGGCGTAGGGTTGGGCAGTCTTTCCTTCTGTGGTTCAGGCAGCTGCTCTGAGTCGGAACCACCCACTCAATAGCAACTAACAACCGTGTGACTACCACGCACATCACTCCTATTTAGAGCTCAAATTCAAAAGGCCTAAAGTGTCATCATGCCTGCACATGTGAACATCGAACATTCTCAGTGCAGATCTCAAGCCTTTTTAACAACCGGCCTTTAACAACCCCACCTTTAAACCCGTCCAAGTTTCCAATTTAAAAAAGGAACCCTGCCAACCCCCAAAAACCAATGCAAAAAAAAAGAAGAAAAAAACAAAATGGAGAACTCACCCAGAATTTCTTCATTTTCGGCTGCTTCTGGAAAAGTGAAGAGAATTGTATGTACTCTTGTACCTACGGTGAAAAAGCGAGTATGTGCAGTTAGGAGTAACCTGGCATACCTGGGCAAGAGTCACCCTTGAAAGAACCAGCAGAGCACCCTGCTCAACACAACCATCACCTTTGCAAACCTCCAAACCAAACTCAAAGGCTCCCAGTCAGTTCTGACTCACTGAAGCCTTATAGGACAGGGTAGAACTGCCCCTGGGGGCTTCCAAGGCTGTCACTCTTCACAGGGGCAGAAAGCCTCATCTTTCTCCCTCTGGAAACAGGCAGAGCTGAAACACTGAGCTGGAGGAGGCACACAACTGCACGTTTAAAATATCAACATGATTAGATCATTAGATGGGTTCAACTCCATGGTAGAACCAGAGCATCGTCTTTTAAACTGTGTCTCCTTACTAAATAAAAGGTACAAAATGTTGTCTCGGCTCACACACTTTCTTACATTTTTTTTTTTAATTGCTGAAAACAAAGAACCCACACGAATCAAAAATTGAGCTCTCAAAACTAGGGTAGCGGTGATTTTTGTTTTGGGGTTTCTCAAGTCATTTGGATCACATGCAGAAAACTGGATGATGTGGACAGAACACTGGCCTGGAAGAAACGACTCCTCTGTGAGCAACCGCACTTACAAACTTGTGAGACTGGAGAAGCCCCCCAGTTCTGAGGCCCAAATTCTCCATCAAGTGAGGCAGCCAGAGAGACTTGTAGGCTTTTCCTGCATGTGTGTACTGTGCAGGCGCCTGAGTGTGCAAAGCAGCTTGACCTGGGAGAGCCTAGTAGTTCAAACCTATGCAGCAGCACGGAGGAAGAAAGGTCTGGTGATCTGCTTCAGCGAAGCTGACCTCCAGGGCCCTACCCAGCAGTTCCACTCTGTTAACACAAGGGGTTATGCCACAATCCAGGGCTCCACTCTAGAAATCAACTTGATGGCAGTGGGTTTTGCTTTGTTTGGGCTTTGATCGCACAGCCTGCAATGTCCTCACGTAGGGTCTTGCTCCGGGGCCGCAGAGCCACCACCTACCCCTTCGGGGCTGCTGGGCCGCTGC